ATATATATATATATATATATATATATATATATATATATATATATATATATATATATTTCTTTTGGTCTTTAATTTTAAAAAAATTACTGCTTAGCCGTTGGGACCACGGGCCCGGCTCGTTTAGCCTGGGAATGAGTTTGTGGGCCCGGTTCCACCAAAACGCACGTTTAGCTCATTTATTTAAGGCCCGGAACTGCAGCCCACGAGACCGGCCCGTTTAGGGCCCGACCCACTTGCCACCCATGGCTCTTTGTATCTAAGATAGCATATTTGTAGTAAGCTAACATGTCTAACATAGCTTCTGCTTCTCGTAATATTTTGCATCTTCTTGATGACATCAATGAAGCCAATTGTTTTAACAAAAAAAGGATAAGTAGAAGTAAGACGGAGTAAGAGTGAAGTAAGGTAAGATTAGATTGGGATAGTGGTTCTTAAACGCACACAATTCAAATATCTAGGCTCGTTGTTTTAGGACAATGGATGATAGATAAAAATGTTACGCATAGAATCAAAAGCAGATGGTTAAAATGGAAAAGTATTACCGGGTGTTATGTGAAAAGGATGCCTACTAAAGTGAAATGTAAGTTGTATAGAACAATTATAAGACCGATAGTTTTATACGAAACAAACTATTGAAGATAAACCATGCGACGACCTCATGCACCAGTCCGTAGATGTGAAACCATGATGAATAATGAAGTTCTTAAAAGAGGACGAGGTAGGTCTAAAATCATATGTGGAAAGAAGTTGTCTCGAAATACCTAGAAATTTTTTGAATCGAACAGACTGAGCAAAATCTAAGGCACAATGGAAGAAATAGATTTATATAGGCGATACCAATTAGCTGGTAATATATTTTAGTCATGTTACTGTGTTTACTTTAGGTCCTATGCTTACTTGGGAGTCTTTTATCCTTGTTAAAGATTCTTATGGCAGTAGAAAATATGGATCATTTCTAGTACTTTAATTTTTATCTTTATTTAGTATAATGTTGGCCTACTGATCAAGAAAAAATGTTGGCGTAAGATTAATTTAACTGGCCGAGCCAAATTTCTTTGGGATTGAGGTGTAGTTTGTAATGATTATTTGCAAAAAACTAAAATAAAACTTAAGTTAAAGTGCTGGAGCTGAATTTTGAATTATGTAGGTAGTCGTGGTGTATTATCATCTTCGAATGTGTTATAAATTCTTAGATGATGCTAGTATTTTATATTTTTGAGAGAACATATTTTTTTTTCTTCATATTTCTAATAGTGTAGATTTTCTACACTCATTTTTGGAGGATTTAATAAAACTAGCCAACTAGGCACATCGTCTGATGGTTCTTTGATCCATTTGCCAAAGCACATAATCAAGCTGGAAGAACTTCTATGTGCAAAATCAAAGAGGAACTTGGGTGTCTTCCCTCTACAGGATGTTGTTCTGCAACTTCTTTGCTTTTGTTTCTTTTATTTTTTTCCCTCTGGACAAATTTCTCCACATTATATGGGATATATGTCCAGGTAGCTTTCAGGACAAAGGTTTTCCACCCAAACATCAACAGCAATGGTAGCATTTGCCTCGACATTTTGAAGGAACAGTGGAGCCCGGCACTTACAATCTCCAAGGTTAGTTGTATTTCCTGATTATTGGTTTCCACTCATTCGATATTTTGAATTTGCTTATTACACCTTGAAATTTTTGAGGACTAGTATGTCCTTAAGGGAGTGAATGGCAGAATGGTGCAATGTAAATGCTGGATCAGCAAGACGTATATGTCCCAAGCTATTATCTACTCCTTGTTTTCCTTTTCGTTAAATCAGCCTCAAATGGGGAGGATTCCTGTGTATATTCAAATTTTTGGTATTGTCTTTCCATGTGGTCAAGTCTTTCCATGTGGTCAAGTTCTTGGTTAGTTCAACTGAAACAAATGCAGAGATTGAACTTATATTTTCTAATGCCTTCTTTATAGTGCTTAGAGGTTAGTAGAACAAAAAATGTACACAGCTTCTTATAGATATTTAGGTGAGGCGAGGTGGGAACCGATATCTCATATTCTGCCCCTTCGTTCAAATTCTAAAAGAGTTGAATACCAGAAGCAATCGGCTCGTTTCCAAGTAAAACACACTTATTTTTGTAATGATAAGCGGAGCAAGTGGGTAGCTCAATTTATTCTTTTTGCAGTACCATTAATGATAATCAATTATCAAGTGCAGGCAGGTATTCATCAGATCAAATTTTAGTGGGTGTATTATAGAAACTTAATTAATTTGTTCCTTGCAGGTATTACTGTCAATCTGTTCTCTGCTAACAGACCCTAATCCTGATGATCCTTTGGTGCCGGAAATTGCTCACATGTACAAGACTGATAGAAGCAAGTATGAAACAACCGCCCGGAGCTGGACTCAAAAGTATGCCATGGGTTAGTTGCTGTGACCATCTCTGGAGGGGCTCCTTTTCTTCTGTGGTATTCTATATTATGTATTATGTATTAAGAAATGGTGTTCTTATGCATAATCAACTCAAGGGGAAAGGTTGAACATGCCCCTCTTGTAACAATTTGATTTGCTGTTTGTTTGCAAGAATCTAATTGTTTTAAAACTGTATGATGGGTTCAATTTATGCGTCTTGACCCTTTGCATCTGTACTTATTGACTTGGATGCAAAGCATCCCCAAACTTTTACGATGAAGTTAATCTAGGGGGTTTCTCAAGATTACAAACCAAAGGGTAAGTTGCGAATGCACTACATCTCAAATTACTTTATCTGGTATGAAAACAATTCGTGGTTATGATGTTCGAACAACAGCCAATTGCAGCTACAAACAAATCGAGGAGTCGCCGACAGAGCGCAAACATTTTTTGAGATTTCTTGAAAGGTCATGGTGTTTTTATCAAATTTTGGTCACTTTGCAACGAATTTATGTTGCCATGTATTTAAAGCGTTTCGAGGTATAGATTTTTTTTTTTTGGGTTGAAGATAGCTGAACTTTTTATTTTAGTTAAACATGTCAAATGTATGTCACTGTATGGTACTTGCGCGGTTACCATAGGGGCGTATGTTTTTGGCTATAGAGACATTTTTAGATTATGAAGATTAACCTGATGGCTTTTTCTTCTGTTGATCATTGTGCGTTTATGACTACGATTAGGGATGTACATGGATCGGGTTGGTTCGGTTTTAAAACCAAACTAATTATATTGGTTTGGATTGGTTAGGTTTTATCGGGTTTTTCGAATTTTTTTGTTACGTGAATATTATTTCAATCTTATTTTGTTAAAGTTATAGATAAAGTTTTGATAAATGAATATATGTTTAGTAAAAGTTGAAAAAATTGACAAACATATGATCTATTAAAATATTCTAATGGGAGAATTTTTTTAGTAACACATGATAGTTATTTTCTTAGTCGTCCAACAATAATTTTTCATTAATCTACGCTTTCAAGGTTAACCAAATTTAATAATTTAATATAAAATCAACATGATACCTAAATAATGATATGTTCTATTTAATTTTAAATTATCGAAATACTATTTGAAATTCGAGAAAATATAAGAAATCTTGACATATGAGTATGGAAGAACAAAGAGATGATTGACGCATTTCAATAACACTTTGATAAAAAAAAATGATATTTAAAATAAATAAAAATGAATGCATCTCATAGTTCTATTAAATATTATGAGCCCGTTTGGATTAGCTGGTTGTAAATAGCTGATAAGTTTGAAGTGATGAAAATCATTTTTAAGTGCTGAAACTGATTTTTTAAATAAGCACTTACGTGTTTGGATAGATGTGCTGAAACTGATAATAAGCAGTTGATATATTTGGTAGAAAAGTGCTGATTAATTATTCTTTTATTAAAATTACTAATCCTTAAAAAAGTTTCTTTGTAAAGAAAAAGATGAACAGCGAATATGGAATAAAAAGGAAGTTAGAAAATTTATTTTAAGAAAAATATTTTGTGATTTAGAAAAAAATATTAAGGATAAATTAATAAAAGCCTTGGTCAAACTAAAAGTGCTTATAAGCTAAAAAGTTATCAGTTGGGGGTGACCAACTTATGACTTATGGCTGATTTTAGCTTATAAGCACTTGGCTTATAAGCGCTTGGTATTTATCAAACGCGTAGATAAGCAAAAAAGTGCTTATAAGCCAGATTGACCAGCTTATAAGCTTAGCCAAACACCCTCTACATCTCATGAGATGATCCCAAATATTTCTATATTTTTTTTTAAAAAAAATTCAATATAAAGTCTTAAAAGTATATATATAAAAATCATATATTTATATGTCGGTTTGGTACGAATTTTTTACTCAATATCAAACCAAATCAAATCAAACCTAGTCGAATTTTTTAATCGATTTGATTTGACTTTTCAATTTGGTGCGGATTTTCTGATTTAGTTTGAACAACCCTAACTACGATTATCCTCGTTAGATTGGAAATAAGGTAGGATTGACGATAGCTCTTGGGACTCTAGTAAGGTTATGGTAGTGTGCTATTTGGTTGTAGGTTTGGTTTTAGCCTTGGTAGCAAAGCTTGATTCTTACATAGACCATGGGTCGAGCTTTTAGTTATAGTCGACGTTAATTTGAACTACCTATAATTATTTTANTATATACTACGAATTGGTGACATTCTTATGATATAAGACTGATCTAACTGAAAACAAAATGGAGTAAGATTGAAAAATGGCGAGATATCTCTTCAAAATAGCAGAACTTGCAATTGCATAGATACCTTTGAGCTCGTTTGGACATAAGAAATTTTTCTCATTTTCTAAAAAAAAATTACTTTTTTTAAATCAGTGTTTGTTCATAAAATTTCCAATTTTCACTTGAAAATGTATTTTGGAAATTTTCGAAAATTTGAAAAACTACAAAAAGCTGTTTTTCAAAATTTCCACTCAAATCACTCACAAAACTTCAAAAACAACCCAAATTTATATTCATGTTCAAACACAATTCTAAATTTCAAATACCATTTTCACTTTGAAATTTTTTTTCCCCCTATTTTAAAATTTTATAATTCTTATGTCCAAACGCCAAGTATCACGTTAATATTTGGAGTATATGAACCCTCCTTCCTGCGACTTTCACCTCGTTTTCTTAGAAGCTTTTCTGAACTATGTGCAAGTACTATCTGATTTATAAAACAAGTTATTGAAAATATTCTGGGATAATAACTTTTGATCCCTCTGTTATTGGTAAATTATAATTTTGGTCCTTGTGATATTTAATTAAGCATATTTAAACTTCAATTAATTTAATGTGCATTTTTGGTCCCTTCCTATAGAAAATATGTAACAATTAGACTATTTGTATAATTATATTAAACTCAAATATGGAATAGAAGTACAAACTTAACATCAAACATGGATTAATTTAATGACGTAATGGTTAAAATAGTTCTTTATATTTGTGAAGATTCACAAGAAGAGGGATCGATTTCAAATAATTGAAGGCTAAATATACTCAATCAGATATCATAAAGATTAAAATTAGAATTTATCAATAATTAAGGAATTAATAGTGCAAATTTCCCAAATATTTTATTAGTTATGAATAATTTTGATTTTTTAACCAAATAATAAACATTAATTTCGAAAAGTATATATCCCTCTGGTTGGAGCATTCTTGAAGAAGAAGAAAATTTGTGCGAACGCCCACTGTTTATGTAAGAAAAAGAGAACAGTGGGCAGAGATTCCAGACTTTCTACTAAATTCACACTTCCCTTCACCTCTCACACATACATTAAACCCTAATTCACAAAATCCTAATCAGTGACATGGACGCCGCCCAAAATCCTTTATGCGCACAAGAAGCACTCGATCTTCTAAATTGCACCACTGAGAAACCTTACGATAAGGAGAAATGCCAACGTCTGCTCGAATCCTTGCGCCAATGCGTCCTTAACAAGGTAATTAGAATTGATTATGGTGTGAGCCTCTTTTTTTATTTAAATATGTTTAGTGATGCTTATTGTTGGTTTTGATTCTGTTCCTTACTGTTGTTTTTTTAAACACTTGAATTTTGATCTGCATTTTTCACCTTTGGGTGGCTAGTTAGGTGAATAACTGGATAATCCGCCTAGAGGAACTGTAATTAAGGGTTTTAAAGCAGAAGTTCTTTGTTTTTTTAAACTGAATTAAGTTATAACTATTGCAAGGGGTGGCATAGCGGTCAATGAGTTGGAGTGACAACCTTAGGACTCAAGGTTCAAATTACTAAGGCGACACTGTGAATTTTCATGTGCTTAAGCCTTGGTACACAAAGTTGTCGAATACTTGCTGGAGGGGTGTAGCAGGTACTCAGTGGATTAGTAGACCTATGCACAAGCTGATTTGAACACAGCTGTTAAACAAATGCAAGTTAGTGGATTTCTTGTTTTGCACTATCTTTAGATTATATAAACTACCTGTTAAGTGAAGCAAAATTCATTTTATATCTAGAGTTGCTGGCTGTTTTTCATACTTTATGGTGCAACTTTTAGATCATGGAAAGGATCAGGGGAAAATACAATGATTAAGAAGTGCCTAACCCTTCTTGTTCGTGCATTTTAGATATGGAAGAAAAGAAAATGAGGTTCTAGGAATTGTTCCAGGGGAGTGATAGAAAGATTATGTTGACGTGATCGAAGCATGATGTTTCGATAGGTGCATATAATACATTAGATAGTGCCAACACACAAAATTGAGTTATGAGTGATTTTTTTAATAACATTGGTCTCAGGGACTGCTTGCACGCTCCTCGATTATTCTACTGGGTACCTGCCACCTCCCACCAGCATAAATACCTTGTAACTTTGTCCGAGATGATGCATGTTTTGCGGTCTTGGCAAATGAGTCTCATCCAGTAACGAAATTAACCGATCAAACCATATCAGGAGTTTTGTCTCGTCAAGAGAAACACAACAATGAAAATCTCGTCTTATAATCCTCCACCTACACCTACATGCTTGGCTTGAAGTCTTTCTGCCAACAATGCGAATGTTCACTGCCCCTCATTCTTGTCTAAACTGATGTCATACAGCCATTTTACTTACTTGATATGTCCAATCAATAGTCCCACACCTAGTCGGCAAAGTTTTCAGAAAGTTGGCTGGAGTTTTACTATGTTTGATTTTATTTTAGCATACTGTTTTGTCATATTCAAACCAGAGACAATATTAATTGCGTTCATAGGGGAGCACGCTTTACGGAGGGAGGTAGTAGTAGAGAAGTATGGTTTTATAGAGGGAGGGTGATGGAGGACTAGATCTATCATGATCTTGTTTGGGTGTACTATGTGGCTGAATATTATGAAGGGGTGGGAAGATTTCAGTGATCATATTACTTTTAGGGTTGGGGATGGGAGAAGTAGCTTTTGGAACCATAAGTGATTAAGTGGTGTGGGGAGGATGCATTGAGGGTTTCATTCCCTAATGTGTTCAGAGTTTCTAACCAAGGTGATTTGTCAACAAATTCAAAGGGTGCAAGAGGAAGAAGTACTTTTGGGATCTAAACCTAGACTCAGAGTTGGGGGATTTCCAAAGGTTGCTGGAGGTACTATATAAACAGATCGTACATGCATCCAATCAGGATTCATGGAGATGGGAGCTGAGGAGTGATGGCTTGTTCACGGTCAAATCTTTTTACCAGAAGTTGCTGGTGAGAGAGAATACATGTTCGCCACACTTATCTGTTTGGATCCCAAGGATGCCTAGGAAAGTGTGTTTTCTCACATGGATGGCAGCGAGGGAGGCGATTCTGCCAGCTGAGAATATGAGGAAGAAAAATATTACTTATGTAGTTGGTGATGTATGTGTAAATGTTCGGACGAAGAAGTTGATCATCTTTTGGTGCATCGTAGGGTGGTGTCGGATATGTGCCTCTGTGGAGGGTGATCTTGAATTGGTTTTGTATAAAGTGGGTGATGCCATACATTGTTAGAGATGTGTTGCTTAGATGGGCTAGTAGACGTAGGAGAAGAAGACAAAGGGCATGTGAGGTTACTCTACTAGCTCTTATGTGGGTCATATGGAGGGAGAGAAACACGAGAGCATGTGAGGGGATTGAAAATGATTTTGTACACTTGAGGAATACTTTTGTCTTTGATCGCGTTTTGGTGCACCCATGAAATTCCTATTCATAGAAAATCATGTTTTGTTGTAGCATGTAGGTTCTCCACTTTTTGGTATACCTGTTGTATACGGGAGTTTTCCCAATGTTAATTAAGTTATTTACCACATAAAAAATAAAAAATCCATTGTGTTCGTAGCAAACAGTTTTTGATGAAGGTGTATTGGTTGGAAGCTTGAAGCACATGAGGATAAGTGTTAGAATATGTCTAGGTTTATTAGGCAACCACTTAATTAGTGTAAAGTAATTAGGTAATGATTTCTTGTTATTAAACAGTGACTTAATTGCTATAACATAAATTAAACAACTCTTTTAGTAATGTCATTTGGCATTAGGAATTGCAGTAAACAAGGCATCATTGTATGTACAAATACACAAGAATTAAGAAACACATTCTCAAACTTTTGTTCCTCTCTAACTTTTTCCCCAAAGTTACCGTGATTTTCTAATCCTGTAGCGATTGCAACTTGGGCTCAGCTTTTCGGTAGTAACATAATACTACTACAACAACAACATACCCAGTATATTCCCAACATAATAGAGATTCGGAATTCTAAATTAGCAATCCAAATAATTATCCTTTTGTTTTCAGTTTGTGTTGCAGCTTTTGTTTCTAAATGCAAGTGAAATTTATCAAAAATTGATTCCAATAATGATTTATTAGTAACGTTATCATGTTAAACCTTTCAATTATCTTATATCAAGAAATCATTATGCTTTAGACTAAGGTTTTTGAAGTTTTATATTGACGATATGATCAAAAGAAACCTTTTCCTGCGAAATCTGTTTGGGTTAGGCGGAGAATTGTGAGCTTGTGTTTGTGTTTATAGGTACAATGTGCTAGAAAAATGTGCAAAGACAAAAAATAACTTAGCGGTGGATTGGTGGTAGAGAATGAATACATTTGTAGCGGAATTTGACCCGGTCTGCTGATTTGGTGCAAAACATCCATGGATTTGGCCTAAATTAAATTATTGAAAATTAATCTCAAACTTAGGCCAATTTACAGTTTGTAACCAAGATAATCACGTAAGTCATGTGCATTACCAAAGATGCACAAAACAGTCGTGGAAAGTGGTCATTATCATAAAAAAAGAGAAAGGAGAGAGTGATGAGAAAGAGAGATGGGTAGGTGGTGGTAATAAATTGTTCCATGTGCTTCTATCCTTTCAGTTCTTCATATATTACTGTTGTCTTTTAAGTTTTCACCTAAAGAAATTAGAACGTCCAGATCATTATTGGATTTGTAAAAGAGAAAAGAAACACAATTGCTTTGTTAAGACTTCCTTTTTGCCTTTGGTTTTCTGTTTGATATCTTTCTAATTGATATTATTAACGAGCCATTTTGTTTGTTTTGTGTATCTATTGGCAATGTGATTATATTTCCATTCCTGTTGCAAATGCTACTTGTGCCAATCAATTAAAAAAAATGCTACTTGTAGAGTGAATTCACGGTTTACAATTTTGATTTAAGGCCTAAGTGTGTTGAGTTCCAAAGAGCCTTCCAACTATCTTGCCAGATACAACAACACTCCTCAATATCAAGCAAGTTAGGGTCAGCTATATGAATTCTCAGTTACCATGTCACTCTCACTCTGTTTAAGCTCATCAAATATCTTTCTAGATATAATTGCCCAAAAGCTCATTATGGAGCATGTTCCTGTTGTTAGTTTATTTTCTGAATGCAGCAATCGGCTTCTTTAGTAAAGGCTAATTCTTGAAAGGAAAATTACTCTTGTGTGGCAAAGAAAAATATATTAATGAACATTTGGTTTTAATATGTTCTTGAATGAGGCTTTCTGTTATGCATCTAAGCAGAAAAAATGTATAAGAAACTTGTATCAGTCTCTGTTTCCAGATTTGGATGAAATGGTTCTTTTATCATACTCCAAAGTGTCTTAGCACTCTAATGGTTATTTCAGTGGAAGATGCTGTATATGTTTTAGCTCCCTTGTGCATAGTGGTTATTAAGCTTTCATTATCAGTAATTTCATCTCCTCTTGCAGAAAATAAAGAAATTCTTGCTTGCTGAAGTAATCTTTGGGAACACAGAAGGGACCACTGAGAAAAGAAGTTAATCCCTGGTGAAATCAAAGTGTGAACTGTGATGTTGAATTCTTGTAATTCAGACCACTGGGTACCTTGCTTGTCTAGCGGAATAGAATTCTAACTGTTTGTGCTAACAGAAAATAGATTTTTGACGTGTAAAATTATGGCCTAAATACATTGCTGTCATTTCATTTTACATCAAGCATTTTAAGACTTTCTTAATGATCAGATTTTAGTTTCCTCTTGATCTGAAAAGTATTACGACATGGGGTTTATGCTAGATTTACAGTAAAAGTTGATGGATTGACGATAGTATGCACAAAATTTCCCTGCTAATCAGATGCAGAATGAATGCTTGATGTACGACTAACAACTGTAGTGGCGTAGCTAGTTTTCCAAGTCACTATACTAACCCGTTTCAATACTTCTTAAGAAGCAATAAACTTGGACTTCTTGAACCTCATAATTCTTTCATAGGTAAAGACACCTTAGTGTTAAAAGTCAAAACGCATAAAACTATAGATACATAGCCTACATGGCCAGTTACTCACCAAGTTACATTACATCATTTAAGACTTAAGAGAGTAGCTTTTATAGAAAAGTTCCCTTCTCTCAGACGGAGAAACACGTACGTACACAATAGAGGGGAAACAAACTAATTGTATGAGCAATAATTGGAAAGTCCATTAGAATGATAATACTCTATTTGGTTCATTGGTCAGGCCAAAGGAAAGCTCCCATAGCAAACTTTCTGCTGTTTGAGAGACGTCAGTTACTATTTGTATGTGAAGAACGTGTGTTTGTTTAAGCTTGACGACTTCACTTAGGCGGGTGAACTCTAAACCTACGAAGTGTTTCTCTCGTGCACAAAAAATAATAATAAGAAAACCAACGGTTAAAGTACCTACAACTAGTGGCGGAGCCACAAGTCTAGCTATAAGTTTGGCAGAACCCAATAATTTCAGCTTAAATCCTATATTTGTATTAAGAAATCTATTTAATATGTGTACACTAAGTCACTAACTTATCATGTCCTAGATTCGAGAACCCATATATTCAAAATTTTGACTCCGCCTCTGCTTGCAACATTGAGAAAGTAAAACATGACGCTGTTCTGGTCATTCAACCATCTAAAAATACATAGGTACAACAAAATAATAGTACTGTTGCTTATGTAAACATTTCAATGTATATTTTTGGCTATATTAATTCTTCATTTAAGACAAAAATTTGGACCAGAACAACTTGGGCCTAATCTTAATCTATACGGGCTTAGATCGACAATAGCCCAGAACCACCTTCCAAAGGAATAAAAGGGGTCAACCAAGCCAGCAACATACTACTTTGGCATCAATTAAATCGTGCTTGTTATAAAATAAAAGTAATTTAGTAAAATATGAACAAGAAATGGAGATAGAGAGAAAAAAGAGATTTTCTTCTTCAATTATGTGTATTTTCTTATCTATTACAAGGCCTTTATATAGGCATGAAAAATAAAGAAAAATATGTTATTGAATATATCATTAAGTATAGAAATATGTCATTGAATATGTCATTAAGCATTTGAGAAGATCATGGAGGAAGAGTAGACATCCACCATAATTTGTTTTTTCTTATAACACCCCTCCTTGGATGTTCATAGATAATGTGCCTCGTTAAAACCTTATTAGGAAAAAACCCTATGGGAAAAAAATCCTAGTGAAGGAAAAAGAGTACACATGTTTAGAAATACGCCTTTTGGTTGCCTTGTTAAAAACCTTGCAAGGAAAACTCAGTAGGACAAAACCTTGTAAGGAAAAAAGAGTACAACGCGTATTAACTCCTCCTGATGAGAGCATCAATTCACATCCTTGAGCCTTCGCATCCCAATCTTGTACAATAGTTTCTTGAAGGTTGACGTCGGTAGAGATTTGGTGAGCAGATCAGCCATATTATCACTTGAACGGATCTGTTGCGCATTGATATCACCATTCTTTTGAAGATCATGTGTGAAAAATAACTTTTGTGAAATTTGCTTTGTCCTATCCCCTTTTATAAATCCTTCCTTCAATTGGGCTATGCATGCTGCATTGTCTTCATACAAAATTATGGGTAGTTTGTCACACTTCAAACAACATTTGTCTCGAATAAGGTATATTATAGACCTCAACCATACACATTCTCGACTTGCTTCATGAATAGCAATTATCTCAGCATGATTAGATGAAGTAGCCACGATTGATTGCTTAGTCGATCACCAATATATAGCAGTGCCTCCATATGTAAATATATAGTCTGTTTGAGATTGAGCCTTGTGCGGGTCAGATAAATACCCAACATCGGCATAACCAACAAGATCGGGACTGCAATCATTACCATAAAATAATCCCATATTGGTAGTCCCTTTTAGATACCGCAATATGTGTTTGATTCCATTCTAATGTCTCCCTGTAGGAGTAGAGCTATATCTTGTTAAGGCATTAACTGAAAAAGTTATGTCAGACCTTGTAATGTTAGAAAGATACATTAGTGCACCAATTGCACTAAGATATGGTACTTCGGGACCAAGAAACTCTTCATTATTTTTATGAGGTCGGAATAGATGTGCTTTAGCCATATAGAATCACTTTAAAATCTTTTTAGTGTATGCTGATTGATGGACGAAAATTCTATCTTTCATATACTCAATTTGTTGACCAAGACAAAATATTATCTTTCCAAGATCTTTCATTTCAAATTCTTTCTTTAAATAGTCTACTGTTTTGGGAAGCTCTACTACTTTAGGAAGCTCCCTAGGAGTTCCAATGATATTTAAATAATCAATATACACGGTGATTATAACAAATTTAGATCTATATCTTTTTATAAAGACATAAGGACAAATTGAATCATTCTTGTACCCTTCTTTCAACAGGTACTCACTCAGACGATTATACCACATGCGCCCTGATTGTTTCAATTCGTATAAGGATTTTTGAAGCTTTATTTAATAAATTTCTTGGAAACCTTAATATGCTTCAGAACAATTTAAATCCTTCCATGATTTTTATTATACGCATATCACGCTTTTCTTGTATTGACAGATTAAAACCTAAAATGGCGACATCCACCACAAGAGAACATGTCTCTATATAATCAATGGCAGTATATTTACAAATCTTCTTGTGATACAAGTTGTCTTTATATCTATCGACTTGACCTTTTTTTTTCTGCACAAGAACACATTTATACCTCCACTGGCTTTATACTTTCAAGTGTTGGGACTATCCGTCAACTTCATATTTTTAAGGTGAAATCAATTTTCATTGCGTATTTTTTATTTGGCCAATCATTTATCTGTCCAAATTTCATGACAGATTTGAGCTCAAGTTCCTCGTCAATATTAATAATATTGAGCGCTACATTATATTAACAATATCGTCGACGATTATTTTATATCGGTTATACTATTACCCAATAAAGACATAACTTATTGAGATCTCTTTATCTTATTATTTTCAGGTACCTGAGCCTCTCCCATGAGGTCTTATGAAGTGTTATGTCGTGGTGCTCTTCTATAGCACTTGCCTCCTTATTATGACCATCTTGAACATTTGCTCCTCTCCTTCTTCAAGGAGTTTTATTTTTGGAACCGATTAGTCTATTATGCTTCATGCACGCCATAGATTCTATTCATTTATGAACTTTATTTTATTTGGAGCATTAGTAACTGAATATGACATTTAGCTTTGGGTCAGCAAATACGCCTGGTAATATTTTACAAATGAATTATCACTTGAACTTCAAGTTCATATTTTCTCGTACGAGGATCTAGATGTACTCAGAATAATTCATTACATACATTACTTTTTCAGCTGCCCATTTTCTTCCCCTATTATTGGGATCACTAACACATATCCCTAGCCTTATTTGGGGATCCATCTTTGTGCATTATGGTGAAATAATTAAATCATATAGCACATTCATAATTCTAGATAAAAATTATTTGGTTCCCGACCCTGAACCGATTATAATAGGGAGAATTTTTCATAACTAGGCTAGATGCGTACAAGTGTTATTGTATATTAAATAATACATCACATACCAAATTTTATTTTGGCAATTTTGTTCTCATAACCAATGGTTTAGATATAATTGGAGGCATACAATTTCTGCTAAACCAACTTGGATTTAAACTAGTATTATCAAGATAAATCATCATAATTTATATTCTGAAACTGTGCTCTAATAATTTGAGCAATCAATCTTGCAAAAGTCAAACTGCAAGTTGATAACAAATGTACATGTGACCATAGAATAGATGCATCTATTAAAATCATATAATAGTAAACGGTCCACATGGAAGGTGACTCTGCTCATATATTTATCACCTTTATTCGTTCCATAAATCAAGGGATACAATCTCAACCTTAACTGGTATATCATGAGAATAAGCAACAGAAAAGAATTCTTGAAGAATCTTATATTTCTTCAATGTATGCCAATATAATTCTCAATTAATTTTTCGCATCATAATTGAACCGAGATGGTCAACCGGTCATGCCAACTAATATTTATTTCAGTAAATCTCTAGTTTATTTGTGGCTTGTGATTGCATCATCATTCCTATATTTGTGTAGTACAAATAGAAGAAAAGTCAGGTAACCTTTCATATTTACCCGGTATGATTATAGTAATATAAAGATATTCAATCTTCTTTTCATTTATAGTCTCAATATGCCAACCACTTTGGCTAATATAATTATAAATCAAAATGTTTCTTTTGAGACTTACTACAATATTAATGTCATGAACAATTTTATTCATCCGGGTAGTAACAAATTAGTTCTTTCAGAGCTCTTAACTGCTTTTATACTACAAGATCTTTTATCACACCATCCATATAATGAATGTCTCCTTCACAAAGAGAATCTTATCATAATAATTATCATGTTCAAAATTATCATAAGCAAAATAATTTCTTGCTTTAATTTTGCTTCTAATAACTTTCATAAGGCATGACAAAATATTTTTGGCGTATCACATGTATGCGACCAATGATATATTCATGTAACTACACAGTAATATTCATTATCTTTCTTTGTCTCAAACCTCCCTTAGAGGTGAGTTATAGTATTTATCCAACCATGCACAAGTACATTATTATGCATAATCTTTATCATATATATATTTTCACATTCACTTTCAGGAATGAGTATGCATTCTTAATGTTTATCANTTGCTTTAATTTTGCTTTTAATAACTTTCATAAGGCATGACAAAATATAT